GTGTGTGTGTGTGTGTGTGTGTGTGTGTGTGTGTGTGTGTGTGTGTGTGCCTGTTTTTACCTTATTAGAACCTTTTCTGGAATACACACATACCCCGTTAGGACAAAGAAACTGCTTCTAAGTATTAGTGCAGCTACATATTGTACGTACAATTTGTGGACAAAGAAACTTTCTAAGAACATTTTTAATCCATGCCTCTATCTGATTTGGCATAGCACCTAACCCCCCAACAGTACTGACAATAATGAGTTGTGCTCTTGGTTTTTCTATTATGTTTGGCTGGTAATGCATTTTGCAATAATGTATAGTAAGTACAGCCCTCCTTTACATTTACGCTGATTGTCGGCTTGTGTCTGATTGTAATGAGACTATGATAAAATGACAACAAAAGACAACACATACACCTGAGTTCGGTCAAAATGTGTGAGGTGTTTTGGCAGTGCTCAGCCATATTACTTCTAAAAAACCTCGAGGGATTAATCAAATTCCAAATGAGGCATCTGTCAGTTTTAACATATTTTGTTTTGGTAACCTGAGTTTCCATTTTTCATGTTTCTATGTGTTTTTTTCCTCTTCTCTGTGACTGACAGATGGAGAGCTGTATGCAGGAGTCTACGTCGATTTCATGGGAACAGACTCTGCTATCTTCCGTACTCTGGGGAAGCAGACAGCCATGAGGACTGATCAGTACAACTCCAGATGGTTAAATGGTAATGTCTCAACTCGCTGTTTGGGCTGCGTCTGGCTTTTTTTCTTCTCTCTTTTTTGTCGTCAAATCATTTTTTTCTTTATTCCTGTGCCACTTCACAATATTGTTTCCCACATATTTTTTTTCATTTGTAGCTTTAAGGTGCATTGTTCATCATTCCTAAATATGTATTATGTGGGAATGTTAGAATTGTTGGGCTCGATTCATAAAGTTCACTCTTCTAATTATCATCTGCATGCCTGCAGAGTTTACTGCAGGGTCAATAACTCAGAGTAGCCTCCACTCTGAAACGAACTGCGATGGTCACAGTGATATTACTGCTGGTCGGGTGCTTTTGGTGGATGTTGCTCAATCAATAACCCACTCTCGTCACTGTTGCCGGCTCCCAGATTATCCACTGACCCTGTTGCCCTGACAACAGCCCCCTGCCAGCGATGCTCTGAATCAGGACACCTGAGTCCTCCTAATCAGCCATTTGAAATGTCTCAGATAGCACCATCCCCCATAGTTTAGGGGTTCATGTCCCCCCCGCCCTCATGCATTTTGATTTGTCCTATTTTGGACCCTGGTTTGTCACAGTAGGGAAGACAATTCTTGTGAGTCCAGTGGTGCCCCAGCAAATCAGCCAGTGAGGATATACACTGTGATGTCACACCAAGCTCATAACAGTTTCTCTAAACTCACATTTTTAACTATATTTAGTCTTCAGGGACAAAATTAACAACTAAAATTCCTAAGAATGATCTTGCTTTAACAAAAACTGACATTTTCACCTTTTTGTTAATTCGTCCTAACACACTCTTCACATTCAACATCAAACATTGATTGTTTGACTGACTATTCAGAAAATCAACAGCTTTTTTCCATGTGTACAAATACATTTTGTGGTTCAACGTTTCATATCAAAATGTATGTTTTATTAATTTATTTACTTTTACCTCTGAAATGGTTGGAAAAGAAACACTGGTCTGGAAACCACACTATGGAATTTTCAAAGAACAGTCCAGCTATGGAAGAAAAATATATTGTAAATGGTCTGTACTTATGTAGCACCTTTCTATCCATCCAGGACACTCAAAGCACTTTACACTTACAGATATTCACCCATTCACACACTGATGATGGCAAAGTACATTGTAGCCACAGCTGCCCTGGGGCACACTGACAGAGGCGAGGCTGCCATACACAGACACCACCGCACCCTCTGACCACCATCAAGGAAGTGTCTTGCCCAAGAACACAATGGCATGTGGGCATGGCGGGGAGTTGAACCTGTGACTTGCAGGTCCCAAAGCCAGCTGCTCTACCACTACACCACAGCCGCCCTAGACAAATAGACCAACAAACTCACCACTGAACCAGTAAATCCATTATACAGTCAGCCAACCAATCAGTGAACCTACCCACCAATTAATCAACCAGCCAACAAACCTTTTCAACGATTGACCTGAAGCCTATATTGCACAAAGTCAGATTTCTAAATTCAGGATATGAGCTGTAAGCCGAGGTTGAACTAACCTTCAACTTGTAAACAGCTGTAATTAGTTGCACCAACACCAAGCCGCGCTCAATTAGGGTGGTTCATTCAAACCAGCTGTAAATGGTTTAGGATTAATGCACGTTCACGATTTGTTTACTAGACCGATTGGGTGGATCAAAGATTTCCTGATCAGGCATGTGCAGTAAGACATGTGAGCCTCACTTCCTCCAGGAGTTTAATGGTTAATTATGAATCATATAAAGAAATGAAGAGAAACACCGACTGATGCTGAAATAATTTCAAAAGTAAAAACTTTGTTTCACTGAATCGGTCTGTAAATTATCTGAGATTAACTAAATGAACAAAATTAAAATGAACAGCTGATCGCTCACTTAAAATGTTTGCTGTAGGAAAAGACGGGGGACGGGGGTTGGGAGGGGTTAGAAGCTGAAGGGGGACGGGGGGGTCGGGCTCCAGTGCGGGCGCGTGTGTTGGTGGGGAGACAGGGGTGGGAAGGTGCCGTGGATGTGGAGGGGTGTGGCCTGTAGCAGGTACAAAGAAGGGAGGGGGGACTTGGCATAAGGTGAAGCTGAGGTTAAATCTTTTTTTATTATTATTCTTTTCCATGGATAATCTGATAAATAAACAAAATAAATATATTTACTCTGTAATATTTTAATGCAAAGAAAAAAAGAATACATTTAATAAGTGTGAAGAACTTATTTCTGATCAGACTCTGCAAAAATTAGCCATCTAAAAATAAGTTAAAACTACTAGATTAGACCCTTATTCTTCTCAAATTAATAATTTGCAGTTTGACAGTTGCACTTGGTAAGACTTCTTGAAGTAAAAAAAACTTTTCAGATTAACAAGATTCATAATCCAACATATTCTGATCCTGTTTAGTATATCGGTCTAAAAATAAGATCAAAAATACTTTTTAGCTGATATAAGACTGTAAAACTTGGTTAGRGGAACATTTTTCTGCAGTAAAATGACTGACTACTGCTCAAAAACACTAACAGATTAAATAAGCTTCACTTTAAACCTGGTCGGGACCAGGTTAGTTTCAGAGCACTTGTTACCACAGAAACATAAGTTCTTTGTAGTTCATGCAACCGATTCAAGGCTTAATTAATTCAGGTTTACACCAAAATCCTGGGTTAATCCCTTATCCTAGATTTGTGCAATAGTCCTCATTAGAACCACCAACCAACCAATAAACAAACTAACAAACTCAACCACCTGCCCCAGTGTTTTTATTTCCTGTGATACACGTTTTTGCTGTGGATCTGTATCAGTTGGTTTAAACTAAAAGATGAGGATTTGATCTTGTCCATGACAGATAAAACACAGGACTGCACAGGAATGATTACAGCTGTGAAAACCTGTTTTGGACAGGACACACCATATTCATTTTGAATAATAAAAAACTGAAGCTGACCATCATTACATGCTTTGAACTCTTTGTGAAGTCTAATGTAGACAATCCAAAATGTCATTTAAGTTTACATTTAACCACATGGTGTGTAGATGAACTAAACAAGCTATCTTTTTCTTTCTTTCTTCTCTATAGATCCCACTTTTGTCCATGCACACCTCATCCCAGACAGTGCTGAGAAAAATGATGACAAGCTCTACTTCTTCTTCCGMGAGAAGGCCTCTGAGGTGGGCCAGAGTCCCATGACGCAGTCCAGGATAGGGCGGATCTGCCTGGTGAGTTATCACATCAGTCAACAAATCCCACCAGTGAAATGTTTATATGTCTCCAGAATGCTAAGTTATAGTCTTTGGACAGTGTTATTCATTTTTTGAGGCCAAAAAGACAACTTTGATGTGTTCAGCATGAAACCCTAACCCACACCGATTCCTCRTCTAAAGATACAATGTTTGTCATTTGTTTCAGCAAATAAGTTCAAAATAAGCTATTATTTCCTTTGGTGAGTTTAWATTAATTTATGTGCTAATACTAGCAGGGACTTTCCCCACTTTCATTATATTATAGCATCAGGTGAAACCATGTTTTTTATGTACTGTACAATGTTTACTGTTCTCTGCACATGGCAAAAAATAAAATCTTAAGWAATTTAGACATCCCTTTGTTATGCCAAGGTTCATGAAAAACCTTAAAGCCTCAGCTGTAGCATCTGGCTGACCTCTTGTTCAGACTGGTCAAGCTGAAACCCAAGTCTGAGTTATCACATTTGTTCATATTTGCAGGCTCACGTTTGGTAACACGGCCAGTTGTTTCAAACAGCTGTTAGTCAGATATTGCTGAAGTCGTGCCGCTGAGTGATTTTTTTGTTGTTGGCGCGGTTTGAAGCTGACTTCTCGTGCATCTGCCCTACAGAATGATGACGGTGGACACTGCTGCCTGGTCAACAAGTGGAGTACGTTTCTGAAGGCTCGCCTCATCTGCTCTGTTCCTGGAGTTGACGGCATTGAGACTCATTTTGACGAGCTGAGTGAGTTATGGGCCTTGTTTTTTCATGTAAAGCTTTAGCTCGAAGAATTACTGTCACACAGTAATCTGAATATAAGTGTTAGATTATTAATGTGGTTCTTTGATAGTGCTGTTTTTTCCCCTTTTGAGCACCTAGAAAAAAAAACAGGCAATTATGCACTTATGTTGTGATCAATATAGATATTCTTGAACTACTTTCCATTAGCTTTTGCAGTAAAATAATTAAAAAGGTTTATTATAAAATAAAAATTCAGATTTTACATTCATGACATTCTGTAGTGTCGTCACCACCAAGCTTTATAATTCCACTGACAGGTTTGACCCAAAATAAATAGACTTTATTAAGTGGGAATGTTCAAAATTCATGTGATGACAATATAATAGCACAAAGTGGGGTTCTGCATCTTTCCCAGGGACAGTGACATAATGTGGACTCACAAAACCAGGAACCGATCCACTGATCTTCCAAGTTGTAGACAACAGCTTTTAATACTGAACTGCAGCCAGCCCCTAAAAACTCTGTTGTGGTTTTCTGGACGCCGTTATCCCGAAGGTTTTTCAAATTTCTCTTTCTCACTACACCTGTTTAAAAATAAATGGGTCCGTATGTAGATTCTGCACAACTGGGGGACAAGCTGACCCATTTATTTGAGTCAGGTGTGTTTGAAAACAAGGCAGACCACTTTTTAAATTTTATTTTGTAGTTAATGCAATGTTATTTTTTTAATTGCCATTGCTTCACCTGCTTCAACAGCCAGTTGTCAATAGTATTTAAAAAAGTACACTACTAGCTGGGAGCTGCATTCATAGTAGCATCTTTTGCAGTGAGGAGGCTTCGCAGATGTTTTTAAAGCATTAAGAGCACTCAGTGCCTGCGACAGAAGAGCACTCCTCTGTCGGTGTTACAGTACTCTCTCCGTGGTGCAGCATGACAGTTCAATGCAGATCAGCACTCATGGCGAGGTTAATGTGAATCCTGAGGTGCAGCGTAACATCCCGCAAACCACAGACAGTCTGCTGGAAATGTACTCGGTCTCCAGCCCTGCCGGTCCTGATGGAGCCCCACAGAGGCATCAGAGTGGTTGTATGAGGACTCGAGGGGGGAGAGTAGAGTTGATTCAGATGGCAAAGTTTTACAGATGAGAAAGCATTTAGTGTTTCACTGGAGGACAGGAGGAATATAAAGGGACAGAAACACATACAGACACAAAAACATGAATGAATTTAGGGGAAATAAAGTTTTACAGCTTTATTCCCCCTGAAATGTTATAATGAACTGAAACAGATTTTTAGATTTTTTTTGTAAGTGTCACCTCCATAAATCATCTGTTCCTCAAAAGATTAGGTGTTTTTAGTTTTGCTTTTTCATTGTTTTTGATMATTGCATCTGAACATTTTGCATATTTTAAGTGCATATTTCTAAAAGAAAATATCAAAAAGATAATTATATATAATCTACCGTCAGTTTTGCTTGCCTCCAGTGACTGTCTACTGAGTGCATAATTCCTTTTCTCTTTCATCTGTGCTTTTCACAACGTTGCATTCAGCCCAGCTATTTTCATTACGTTGCTTCCAGCAATTAGACATGTTTCTCAGCAAAAGTGCTGCTCAGAGTGTCTCGGAGTCTCGATCAGATCTGACACATCAAAATGTCAGAAGCAAGAAGTCAGAATGATGCAACTCGTTCCAGGTCTTTGCTGATTTATTTCTTTTCTCTCCTTCCTGTAGCCAGCCGATCTGTCATACTGGCGTCGGAYGGGTTGTGAATATTTGCTTTGTTTGCCAAAAGTTAATTTTTGCTTTAGTGAGCAGCTATTATCTGTCATTTCATACCTTTTGGCACATGAGAAGAGTTTTTTTTCTCTTGAGAAAAGRTTTTCAACTTATGATAAATAGGAGCTTGTTGATCCTTGTACTCAGGACTTATTATTTTATGCAGGCCATGTGTTAAACTTTTTTTGTTTATAAGATAATCATTCATTTGTATTTTGTGTAATAGGACTTTTTGTTTGATTATAGATAATTATTGTCCTGTATTTAAAAAGCCTTTTTAAACAACTTATCAGAAGTGTTKTTCTTAGTTTTTCATTGAAGCGAAACTTTATATGGACCTGAGCATACTGCGCCTGTCTTCTCTGAATTTATTTCACTTTTCCTCCGTTTTGTGTTTTCTTGAACTTCATCAGAGGACAGTCAGGGTATAGCATTGCTTCAGTCTCATAGTCACTGGGTGCATATGGCTCCTATTAAAACCATGTTTCACCAGACATCTCTGTTTCGCTTCTATTCCCCGCTGACACTCGGACACTGTAGTTTCAGGTTTGGAAGAGTTTGGGTTCAGGATTCTCATACAGGTTCTCTTCNAAGCAAAAAGTCTCCATATGTCAGAAAAAGCAGAAAAAGGATTACACGGAATTGAGCTGTCATAAAGATGGGGGATTGTTTAAAATGAGACACTAATATTTTCCTTTCAGATGTTTTCTATGAGAGAAAGAGTTCCCTTACGAAYGTCTCTGTTAGTTTATTTTGAACTGTCTAAAGCTTAACGAGGCTGAAATTACAAACCAGGAAAAAAAAGTTTTTATTATAAAATCAGAATCAGACTTTTACATTTGCTTTCAATTAATTCTGTCGTCATTTGTAGGAGATGTTTATATCCAGCCAACTCAAGACACCAAGAATCCTGTCATCTATGGAGTCTTCTCAGTTTCAGGGTGAGTGTTTGCTCTCTTAAAGGGATAGTTCAGAACTTTTGAAGCGGGATTCACTGGAAAAATTATAACAGTTATTACATTCATCTTTTTTTATTTAAAACAGGTTTTAATTCTGACCAGACTCATTACTAGTTTGAGCTGAACAAAGAGGATTGTGGTTTTCTGAAAACGACTCTAATCACAAAAATGTGATAGTTGTTAATACAAACACTGCTTTTTACACTTTACATTATTATCATTTTGAATCAAATTGTTATACCARCAAAGTATTCTGATATTCTATTACATATTTTAAATTGTCTTATTCTAATGCCTGTTTGCTTTCATGTCGTGCTGCTTTGCTTAAGGCCCTGTCACACTATAATGTTTTAAAAATGTAACTATCAATTTGTTAGTATTACAGTATGTACACACCGAAAAGAGGCTTCCAGTTGATTTTTTGAATTCCGTCTTCAACATAGATATCTCCAGTTTTTTCCTAAGTTGACATACGCTGTATAAAACGTTATTTTGACAGGGCCTTTAGCACTTAAATACTCACTTGTGTTGAAAAGTGCTATGTAAATTAAGTTAAACAAAGTTAAAAGTTAATAAAGTTAAACTGAACTCAGTATATTCCTGCTGGATGTGACCCAGGCTGCACCATAAAACTAAATGTAATTTTTTTAATGTGAAATGGTTGTTCAAAGAGCTATCTAAAACAGGTAAGATGTTAATTACATATAACGTTTCCACAGAACCCCACAACCAACTATCTGAACTCAAACTCTTGTTTCATTGTGGAAGTCATGTGTGAAAATGTAAGGATTTTTTCCAGCAATTATATTTATTTTCACTCAGTCTGAAGGTGTCTGCTCTTTCTCAGATTAAGCTGTTGTGCGTTTTAACATTCTGCTTAAAAAAACGAGGCAGAAAGTGAATGCGCAGCTCAGAGCGACAGATTGAGCGTGTCGTCTCGCACACRGGACGTCATACAACATTCAAGTTTAAGACTGTAATCCTGTCGGCTCACAAGCAGGAACCTTTGTGCACTGAGACCTCATAAACATTTCTTGATTAATGTATTGGAGGAAGAAATGTTGTTATTGTTCCCGTCGTCTTCGTCGGCGTCAAGCACGTTAACCTCAGCTGACAGAAACACATGTGGCGCTAATGATAGGGGCCTGTGACAGGAGTTACAAACATACTACACCCACCACACAGAAACAAGAGCCCAGACTCTGCKGATTCTCTGCTCTACGTGGGTTTGTATGTCACTGTGTCAGACAGCTCGACTCTGTTGAGTCGGTTTGCGCATCATGATGTTTTAGCTCGATCCTGTACCAGGCTGGCTGAAAACATGGAGAGGAGGTCCGATTCAGGTGCCACAGAGAGACCCCCGCAGTAAATATATCAGGGTGAGAGTTTATCTGAATTCTCTAATGCATTCGTCTGTTTTCACCTGCTCTCCTTCAGGTCTGTATTCAAAGGTTCAGCGGTTTGCGTCTACTCCATGGCTGACATCCGGATGGTCTTCAATGGGCCGTTTGCCCACAAAGAAGGGCCCAACTATCAGTGGGTGGCATACACCGGGAAAATCCCCTACCCCCGACCTGGCACAGTGAGTTTAAAAAGCGGAGAAAACCAATAACTCTGACATCCACACACACAGAAAAAAAAACAATAAATCAAAGAGGAGAAGATTTGACCTTAATTTTTTTTCCATCTGTCAATAGTGTCCTGGAGGCACTTTCACTCCCAACATGAAATCCACAAAGGATTACCCAGATGAGGTTATCAACTTCATGAGAAACCACCCAACCATGCACAATACTATATACCCAGTGCACAAGCGCCCCCTGGTGGTCAGAACCAACGTGGATTATGAGTTCACCACAATTGCTGTGGACCAAGTGAGAGCTGCTGACGGCAACTATGAGGTGCTCTTCCTGGGCACAGGTCAGTGCTTTAGGGCCATGTTTCCATTTTAGAAGGTTTTAGAGTAAAAATTAATAAAGTGTGCCATAATTCAAGTCTTTGGGGGTTTTCAGACCGCGGGACCGTTCAGAAAGTGATTGTCCTGCCAAGGGACGACCTGCAGACAGAGGAGCTGGTGTTGGAGGAGGTGGAGGTGTTCAAGGTCAGTTTTGTCTTTTGGGTCCAAAACCTCCTCCCTTCTTTTGCTCCATTGTGCTTTTATTGATTTGTTTCATCCGAAATGCTCATGTAAAATTGTCTCTGCAGGTTCCCACCCCAATCACCACCATGAAGATTTCATCCAAACGGGTATGTTACTGTACTTTATTAATTTTGTATTTGCTAAACAAAAATGTATTTATAAATTTAGAAATAAATAAAAGGAAACACATTGTCTTTTTTCATAATTTGTCTTTATTTTAGAAGTCAAGAATTTCACTGGATAAGATCACCTCAACAGCACTGTCCATAACCCTTAAAACATTAAAAAACAACAATCCTAATTATTTTTTCAAAATAAATCCACAGGAGATGATCAGTTTTATTTGATTAGTCTTGTATTGAAAACGTATTGTCACAATCAATCACGCATATTTTTACAACTATATCATCTTTTCCTCATTTACAACAGCTAAAAATGAATTTCTTAACAAGTAATGTAATTATTTAACTTAGAGTTTCATATCAAATTTTAATATATCAGTTCATGTAGCTTCTAATGTCATTTGAAGCATCACAAAAAAAAGCTTCTATGACAAATTTCTTGTTTTTTTGCTTGTTTCTTTCAAAAAGCAACAACTGTATGTGGGATCAGTCTTGGGCGTGACCCACCTGGCTCTCCACCGCTGTGATGTGTATGGGGAGGCCTGCGCTGACTGCTGCCTGGCCCGGGACCCGTACTGCGCCTGGGATGGCAAATCCTGCTCTAGATACTCTGCCTCCCAGAAAAGGTGAGGCTTACAGATGGCTGAGGTATAAATGCAGATTCTTTAAGCATGTTTCAGACGTTGATACTGAACTTTTTTTTTATTTGTGGCTCTCGATCCAATCTCTTTTAGACGGAGCCGCCGACAGGATGTAAAGTATGGAAACCCAATTCGCCAGTGCCGAGGTTATAACTCCAACAGTTAGTATCACTTTGTTATGAGGCTTCAGACCACACAGAAATGTTTTTAGACTAAAGTTTGGTCTAAATGAAAGTATGACAGACAAGTTACCTCACATGTTCTTTTCTAGACAACAAGAACACTCTGGAGACAGTTCAGTATGGGGTAGAGGGCAGCACCACATTCCTGGAGTGTCAGGCTCGATCTCCTCACGTCTCTCTGAAGTGGCACCTCGTGAAGGAAAACAGCGACAGGAAGAAAGAGGTGAGCAAGACTTRGATTGTGAAGCAGATGTTTAAAAGTTACTTTTACTTGAATGCTTTCCACTGTGCTTAATTTGATGATTTGATTGATTGTTTGAAAATGATAACTTTAATTTACCATAGAGCACTTCCTCTRTTTGGCCTCTGTTATCTTATAAAAATAATGTCTGATAATTTATGTTACATATTGGTTTTCGGAGAGATGACAACAGCTTTTGAAAACTAGGATTTGTTTTAAACAAATATTATTTTACATGGTTTTCTAATCCATTCTGGGTCTTTACGATCAAARGAGCCATTTCTGCTATTTGGCTCACTAATAAAATATGTCCAGAGCTACAAAACAAGCTACTACTGTGATTATCAACTGGTGGTCCATGGGCCTTTTAAAGAACATTTTGGGAACCTTCATGGCCAGTGGAGGTGACATTATAAAACTAAAAAATATATTGTGAATTGGATTATTTATTATTATTTTTACACATCAGGACAAATGAAAATACAATATTCATGAAAACTAGAAAAATGCTGTTTAATAGTTTATACCAAATTTCATAAAAACTAGTACAACTGAAATATTCAGGCATTTTTTTCTAATTCTTATTATTGTGTACTCTACGAATTCTTTAAAGGTAATTCTGATGGATTTGAGAGAAAGATCATAGAAATAGGTTAAACAACAGTCTAGCAAAAGCTAACATGTTTTACTTTTTGTGTCAGTAGTATTGATCACAAATTTGCATACAAATTGATTTCTGTTGTGGGTATAAAAAACAARAATTATTCTGTTATGTTTGGTCACATTTTCAAAGAGCCACTGCYGAGGGACCAAAGAGCCACATGTGGTCTCAGAGCTGCTGGTTGCAGTTGCCTGTCCTAACTGATCTGGTATCATTACTGTGAAAAAGTTATTAATAGCAGCCTAACATTCAATAAATTGCTGGTAATACAATAATKTTTTTGTGCAAGTCTACAAATGTTGTGTACAACAATACTATAATACTTCTATTTTCCTTTAGTTTTGCTTTTAATGTCCACATACTTCTGCTTTTTGTTCCTTTTCTTCTACATAAATATGTAGGTACCACTTTTAAATAAGGCTCCCCTTATAGATTGCTTATAAATACTTTATAGATAGGTTATTAATTCATCAGAAAACACTTTACACATCATTATTAAGTGTTTATTATGCATTAATTAAGGACGAGAATGACAAAACTGTCCGGTTTTTGGTCAAACAGTGAGTCAAATCTGTTTATGTACATATTACATCTAAAATGCTATATTAAACATTTCAGACTAGGTTACTACCTTGTAAACACAATAATGTATTGGAAACACATGTTTTACATATAATATTGCGCTGTATTATACATGTACACAACTATCAAAGGTAGCCTTATTGTAAAGTGTAAGACTGTACACTATTCATAAAGCTCCATTATGACATTTATACATGTTTATTAATCCTAATAGTGTACCTACTGTAAATATGTGTTTCCAATACATTATTGTGCTTACAAGTTAATCTAGTGTGAAATGTTTAATATAGCACCTTAAAATATGTACATGAACAGATTTGGCTCACTATTTAGCAAGAAATCAGACAGATTTGTCTCTTTCTTATTCTTAATTAATGCAAAATAAACACTTATTAATGATGTATAAAGTGGTTACAGATGAATTAATAACCTATTTATAACCTATTTACAAGCCATCTATAAGGGGAGCCTTATTGTAAAGTGGTACCAATAGGGGAAAAAAAAACCTTTTGGAACTTTTAAATAAAAAAATAAACTTTTCCTCACTCCAGATTCGCTCAGAGGGTCGCATCCTGAAAACAGATCAAGGCCTCCTGATTCGCTCTCTGCAGTCCTCCGACAGCGGGATCTACCAGTGCACGTCCACAGAGAAGAACTTCAAGCACACGCTGGTGAAACTGCAGCTCGTGGTCCTCTCCAGCCGCACCGTGAACAGCGTGCTGGTGGAGACGGGCGGGCCGGCCCTCCCGCCGCTTCAGGCCAGCGCCTGGACGCCGAGCGCGGGCCAGTACAAAGACCTGCTCACCATCCTGAGCCAGCCGGAGATGGGGCTGATCAACCAGTACTGCAAGGACTACTGGCAGCACGGGGACGGAAACCTCGGGGACGGCAAGGCCAAGAGYATAAAGGAACTGAAAGAGCAGAAGAAACCTCGCAACCGCCGGCATCACGACGATCAGACAGATTCAGCCGAGACATGAAGAGCCTAAACATACCTGTTGTGTATTCAAACACCTGCCCTTGTCTACCTTTTCTTTTATGTCCTCACAGCCTCCCAGACACTACAACCCGCCAGTTAGAGGGATGACAGACTCTGCGACAGAAAGCGGTCAATCGTTTCTACAAAACTGTTGGAGAAAAATAAATATTTATTGTAGGTTGTAAAAAATAGTTCTTTGTACCTATATAGAAAACATGTTTTGTTTTGTTTTTGTGAATAGATCCAACCTGTGCAGATATTGTTATTATATTAGTGTTCTTGTTTATCACACTGTGTCATCATGTTGAGAATATCTTTGTGTTTTTCAAACAGCAACAATTGCCCAGGACTTTGAGGGTACGCACATATGGACAAGGACCGAAAAACTTAATTGTTTGAGGTGACCATGTTGGATCTATTGACTGCTGGCAGTATTCAGTATCTAAGGTCAAAGCTGAGCCAGGAAGTCCTTTGATCGCTCAGACTTCCCCTAATGTCTTCAACAGAATAAGCTACTATAAAGTAGACCTTTATTTCAGCAGAAAAGTGGCAAAAAAAAAGGCATTTCACTTAACGTGAGGACGGTGGAAATGCCCACAGACTGCAACTGTGACAAGATGTCACAAACACAATAAAGTGTGAATTCAAATACTTTTCTTCCTCTCCAGACTGGTCTCAAGTGAGGGTCTTGACTCGCTCATATTCTTCCACAATAAGTTGCTGCCAAGAGTTTGTTTCGTTTCTGTGTGAATATCACATCTCAATGTTGTGTTCTTAACATATGTGTGATAAGCTGTTGTTTGAAATGGGGAGGTTCCTTTTTAAAGGCACGAATCTAAAAACAACATAACATTGCCTTCTCTTCTCTTACTATGGAGATTTTATATTCCAGCAGGCAGCTAAAATGTGAGTTTGTGACAGCTTGTGGTTAAAAAAAGATATAAGACAAAGCACCTTCTGTTGCCAAATTGGTCAAATTTTAAAAGAAATCTTACAGTACATCTTGTATCTAGACACATTGAACAGTATATTCATATAAGGGTAAGTTTTTTGTTGATTTATTTTTTTGCATTCCTCCCATTTTAATGTAAATACTGGTGAAAATTCTAAATATCGGTCTACACACGTGTGCAGATTTATAGTGCTAGGGATTTGATTATTATGATTGGTGCTGTACTTTCTGTATAATCTGGTAAAAACACATTTTTTGTGCTGGTACAGAGCCATTCTTGTGCTTTATTATCAATGCCACAAACTGTAGAACTGAGCAACTTTGACACAATAAAAAAAAGAAAACATCCCAGCTTCAACCACTAACAAGATAATCCCCACCTTACCTGAAGAGAACCCTAAACCCACAACCTTCAGGCGGTGGGTTTTCATCGTGCACGGCATGTACAGTGTATGTTTGTAGTATTTGTTTAAAAATGCGACGTTGCTGTGGGTGTCAGTGAATGTCTGTTTTCTTGTGAGAGTACAGATCCATTTTTTAACTACAGGAAATGCTGAAAGTTTAGAAAGATTGTGATTTTTATCTTTTTTTGCTCTCTCGGTCTTGGAGGGTGAAAAGAAAAAAAACTGCATATATTTAAACGTGCATCTGTTTTCTCTGTTTGACAGCTCATTGAGGTAATGTACATTATGCACAKTTGGTGTTAATGTAATGACTTGTAAAAAAAAACTACTCTTTTCTTCCTCATCAATGTTGCTAACTAATAAATTAAAGCTCTATATTTTATAATAAAACATGTTTTCTTTTGTTTACAATTAAAAGTATAATGACACCTCGGTAGCACTTTATAAAAACTACTCCTTATTTAGCCTAACTTAATTTTTAATAAATGGTTAGTTAAACTTGAAAACACCAATTAAGGATGATTCATAATTATTAAGCTATAAATTTATACATTTAATAATCTGTCAATGACATATGCTCAAGCAGCAAATTCCCTTGGGGCATTTATAAATTGATAAAATATGAGTATTTGTGGTCTTATAAAATGTCAAAGCCTGTGTGTGCTCAATGTCTTTTACAGTTATTTGTATTTTATGTTTAATCTTAATATAACTCAAAGATAACGTAACAAATGAAGACCATCTGCACTAGCCCCTTTGTGCCAATGAATAGAATGACTAAGTGAAAATATATTTTTTCTACATAGGATGACGAGATTACAATGTAGTAACCATACAACTGCTGGCAAGTCAGTCAGGCCAATTTWAGCTCTTCTGGATTAGAGGATGTTTGAATTGACTATGCTTTCTGTGTGATTTTCAYATGTGAAAAAGAATCTGTGGCCCTTCAGGGTTTTGTTAACATAAACAAATACTTAAAAAGCATAAATAGTCCTCACTTTAGAAGAGTTCAACTGGTGGCAACTGCCTTAATTATTGATGCCCTGCAGGATTAGTAGTAGTCAATTCATACATTCTCTAACCATTAAAACATGGACATACATATACAGACAATAGATAATGAATAAACAATGAGTATGTTGTTTTGGAAGTAATTTGACAGTAATTAGTCTTTATGTAGCATTAATGTTAAATTATAGCTTATTAAATATGAATCATCCTTAATTTCTTTTCAAGGTTAACTGGCCATTAATTAATGATTAAGTAAGGCTACATAAGGTGTTATGATAAAGTGCTACCAACACCTCAGATGAAGAGCACAAGTACATAAAATGGCATTTTAAGCTGCAGTTAGACTCAAAAACAGTACCACTTGAGTATCAACATGTTGTGTCTTGCCGTAGTATAATTATTTACAGGGGTGATTCAGTTGCTTTATCAAAATTATTGCCTTWAAAATTCAATCTAAAGCAACATACTGAAGATTTAGCAATGATAAGCAGATAAGTAAATGACTAAACATATATAAAAATGGTTTATGTGCACACATGCTGCAGATTCACAGACAATTCAAAGGGAGTAGATTAGGATCCTCAAACACCTTCAGATTTAGGTCAATGAGATCTGAGGCTGGTGAAACTGCAAAGCTCTTTAAGCACTTCAGAACTCACTCTTTAATCTGTTGTATCCAATAGAAAATGTTTCATTGTGTTTTATGTTATGTTTTAAATATGATTCATCATATATGGGTTGAGGGTCAAGCTGTGTATTTTGCTGATGTTTTTGGTTGTTTCTTATGTTGAGCTTAGCTGAAATAAATGTATGTTGGTTTTAAAACATACCTTGCAGAAAACAAACCAAAGTCTAAAATCATTCTCACATCAGATTTCCTCGTTACCACAATCATACCTGAGAATTAAGCAACTTTTTAGCCTTGTATGCTTTTTTTCCCCAAGGCACCTAAGAGGAGCATGAGATAAGCACTTGAGCCGATGTTCATCTTCCGCTGAGCACAGCAAAGTACCCTAAAGGTTAGAGCTCTCCAACACTGATGTATGCCTGCTTTTCTTTGTAACTCTGCCCTATAACGCGCCTGTCCTTGTGCACTATTGGCCGCCGCTGATCAGGTGGGCTGAGGGTGCCCAAAATCCTTTCCTAAGACAGGAAAATACTCAAATCTTCTCGAGCTGCTGGCAGTTCATGCATCAGCAGTGCAGGTGCAGGCACCGGTCAGTCAGTAGTAGGGCGAGCAGCCAGGACCCGCTTCCATTTTTTTTCCTAACTCTTGGATTTTAAACAGAGGGACCCAAGTCGGGGAAAAGTAGGATGGGGGCCGGAGCTAGCGCTGAGGATAAACGCTCCAGAGAGCTGGAGAAGAAGCTGAAGGAGGATGCTGACAAGGATGCAAGAACTGTCAAGCTGCTGCTGTTAGGTAAAGAAGCACCTGTTGGCTCAGTGACTGAAAATCATTGAGATGCTTTATTGAGTCACTTCTATATCTCATATTGATGTTTATGGACCCATTAAAGTGATAAAATCCCATCAAGTTTGAAGTCTTAGTTTAAATGTAGAAGATATCTGCCATCAATAAAAGGTTTGAGAGAGCAAACACTTTTTTTATTTTATTCATATCATTTAAAAAATCTTGTTGATGGTAAAGTGTTTCTTTTCTCAATGTATTTTTTGCACAGTTTAAAGCTCAACAAGTTTGAGTCAAGCATGGCTTAATAAGAGGTGTGACTGAACTGTTGAGATGCTTGGATAATCATCCAATCCAATCCTGTGTTAATCCTGACACAACAGGTCTGACAGCACAAAGGGCTTAACAAGGAACACAGATACAAAACTAACCAGGTCATAAAAAATGTTTAGCCTCACAAATGTATTTCAGGTGATTTGTTAAGAAATGATTGGTCAAAGCTGCAGCATTACCATGATCACTCTGTGTGGCGTTTGCATGTTCTACCCATGCACAAGTGGGTTTTCTCCTTGTACTCTAGTTTTCTTGTTTGGTCAAGTGGTAACACTAAATTGTCCTTAAGTGTAGGTGTGAGWGTGAATGGTCTCTATGTGATGGACTTGCAGCCTGTGCAAGGTGTACCCCGCCTCACGCATAGTGATTACTGGAGATAGGCACCATCTCCCCATGACCTGGAGAGGAAAAGGAAGTAAAGAAAATGAAAGGATGAATGAATAAATTTAAGTTATAGACAGAAAGATATGGTTGTAGCTGAAGGAAAATTTTGTGTTCATAGTTCAAACCAGAATTATACACACAGGAAATCAGTTCACATTTAGATGTTGGTATTTATTTGTACAGTGTTTACTACAACCTCAGGCCTGGACCAAGTACTCAGGACATTGCGTCGCTGGTAATTGGCTTCGATCTGTCATAATACAGTAGCACTTAGTGCCTTCAAAGAGCCTTCAGAACTGAGTCATGTCTCCTGGAAATGACATCATCGAAGGAATGGACATAACCTCGCCTTTAGTGTGACCCAGTTCTGAAACAAGACAGTCCTAAATTCTCAGATGTAAAAACACTGTGTGTCTGATTGTGTTGTATCAGTACAAGGCGTGTCACTAGATAGTCCCTGAAGAACTAATTGTTCTCACAAATAAATCAGTATTACAATAAACTGATCATACATTAATTATAAAAAATATTCTAAACATCTCAATAAAAATCTGTACATGGGAAGTGCATTTAAAACTCAATATAAATCAGTTTTCTACATACCAGTTATACCATTTAACCAGGCTTTGTATCCATGAGTATATCAGCTTAACCCAGATATTGTTTCATGCTCATCGTTGTTAACGTCTCAACGATGTAGGTCAAGGAAAAAGATTAGGACTGAAGTAAGAAGTATTATGATCTGCTGGGTTCGTCTGTTTGATGAAATGGGTCACTTGTCATATACCTCGTTGAAACCACAGACATAAGTAAAATTAACAAACGTAAGGGTTCTTGAAAGCTTGTAAAATGTTGAAAGAAAGACAACGGGCAGAAAAGCCCAGTTCTTATGTTTCTCACTACTGTCTTCTTCTCACACAAAGGGGCTGGAGAATCAGGCAAGAGCACAATCGTCAAGCAGATGAAGTAAGATGTTTGCCTTTGGATCGAAGCAACAGTTCATTCCTAACAGAACTTGACCATAAATGTAACGTTTGCAACATTTTCTCCACAGAATTATTCACAAAGATGGTTACTCACTTGAAGAGTGCTTGGAGTTTATTACCATCATCTACAGCAACACCCTGCAGTCCATCATGGCCATCGTGAAGGCCATGAACACGCTCAACATTAACTACGGCCACCCCGATCAGCAGGTGACAAAATCAGACAGARGTGTTCTTGCCTTGCTTTAAAATCGCTAACCAGAACAAATTTAAATCTTCGTCCTGAAGGATGACTCCAGGAAACTCATCCACCTTGCAGACACCATTGAGGAAGGAACCATGCCCAAAGAAATGTCAGATATCATTTTGCGTTTGTGGAAGGATTCYGGCATCCAGGCGTGCTTCGACAGGGCCTCAGAGTACCAGCTCAACGACTCGGCTGGATAGTAAGAACTCCTGCATTTAAACACTTTACATCACCTGAAAGCGGTGCTCGCTGACAGAGACAAATTTACTCACAGCTACCTAAACGACTTGGAGCGACTAATCCAACCAGGCTACGTCCCCACTGAGCAGGATGTGCTACGATCAAGAGTGAAGACAACTGGTATCATTGAGACCCAGTTCTCCTTCAAAGATCTCAACTTCCGGCAAGTTTGTGCGACGCTGGTAATAACTGGGCTCTGGGAAAAGCAGTTAGATGAGAGCCATTTTTCTTTTTCCCTGTAGAATGTTTGATGTGGGTGGCCAGAGGTCAGAGAGGAAGAAGTGGATCCACTGCTTTGAAGGTGTCACCTGTATCATCTTTATTGCTGCTCTGAGCGCCTACGACATGGTGCTGGTGGAGGATGACGAAGTGGTATGAAAAGTTGAACATTTTTCTCTTGTCTGCATGAAGTTTAGTTGACATTAAAAAAATCTTCATCAAACTTTCCTTACAGAATCGAATGCACGAGAGCCTGCACTTGTTCAACAGTATCTGCAACCACCGCTACTTCGCCACCACCTCCATCGTACTCTTCCTGAACAAGAAGGACGTGTTCACCGAGAAGATCAAAAAAGCTCATCTCAGCATGTGCTTCCCCGAGTACGATGGTGAGCTCATCATCAAATCATAGCATATTCGGAAAAAAATAAATGGTGAAAGCCAATTGAAACTATGTCTTCACATCGTCTCACCTATAGGCCCCAACACTTACGAGGATGCTGGCAACTACATCAAAATACAGTTCTTGGACCTGAACTTGCGCCGAGACGTCAAAGAGATCTACTCCCACATGACCTGTGCTACAGACACAGAAAACGTCAAGTTTGTGTTCGATGCCGTGACAGACATCATCATCAAAGAAAACCTGAAAGACTGCGGTCTCTTTTAAGAGCCAGGCAGAGAAACGGAACAAGGGTGAGCAAAACGAAATTGCTGCTACAACCAAAGCTGCTAAAGATCCCTTAATATTATTGTTTCTTCTTCACAGGATTCTATTGTAGTCTGGTCACATTCCTCAAATCCCTCCGTGGTTTAACGAAGACTGAAGATGAAAATGCTCCATAACAGCAAATGCAAAAACTTTTATTCATTTTGATTAAACTCGTCACCTGGGAGTTGAAGAAAACTCTTCAGTCAGAAAATCCTGTGCAGATTTAAAGACAAATTTTTAGTCAAACTATTTTCCCCCTCTGATGAAATCCTTGGAGGGTACGCTTTTTTTCCCAGCTAAATACTTTTTTTACGTTTAAATGTAAGAACATGAATAGATGTTCCAGTTAATGCAGTGTCTCTAAGCTCCAGTATTCAGTTTGCACCAGAAAAAGCAAACAAGATAAACTCATCACCTGCATACGCACTTCAGCCTCAACTAAACAAAAAAATAAGTTGTAAGTAGAAATGACTTACACTTACAACTTACAAGTCGTAAATTTAAGCTTTTTTTAAGGAAAGCCTTAGAAAATWATTTTATAGTTGTTGGAAATGTCCAGTGTACAGTATATAATCATTCAGATTTCCAGAATTATGCCATTTACTCTTGAGTTACAGATGTGTCCAGCTTTAATTTTCAAGGACCCTGCATCATTTTTGAGTTCATTACAGAGATGACAGAAAATAATGTACAGATTAAATAAAATTGTTAAAGCTTCTGTAGAAAAACTCAGGTCTGTCGTGTCATTTTTGACAAGCAACACAGTGTTTTGTTCATGATCATTTATTCGATTTCCACAGTTTTTCAAGTTTCTTGCTAGCACTGAACAAACTTGTTTTACAAAACTTTTTTTGAATTATCCCTTTCCTTTTGTGTTTTGCAGTTTAAAAAAATGCCAGCAAAACAAAACACGCATTCACTCGAAAACAAAACTTCATTGCAACAAATAAGAATGGCTTTAATACGCAAATGAGAAGATTTGTTTATACCGTTTACAGTTTCCAAATTAAAAAAAAGACACATTTTAATGCAGGTCCTTACAAGACAGACAAAAGCTGGTTTGTTGTCTCATTTCAATCAGTCACAGATTGGTAACAAAACCAAACTGTTAACATAAAACACGTTTTTTTTTTTTACTTTTGCTAATCTATGTCTTGTTTTGACAACTCACCATAAGACATTTTAAAATTTGTATAAATTTATTAAAAAACAATGTGTTCAATGGTAAACTGAGCTCATGTACATACAGCAGAACAATGATGTTTTGTGCCATGTTAACTTTATATTCTGACTTGTTTAATCAGTTTTATTATATCAGTTCCTCTCTTATTTTGTCACAACTTACTTAAGACATTAACATGCCATTTTTAGGCAACTAACTGAGTGGCCAATATTTTTTTCCTACCAACAAAGTGACTGTAGATTTTCAAAAATCTTTAACATTTCACTTTATAAAACACAATTAATCTCACTCATGAATCACTGATATGGCCTTAAACAATTTAAAAAGACTTCCAACAATGAACAAYATTTCAAAGAAAAAAAAATAAAACTGTTGTTTAAATTGTGATGAATCCTGAAAAGTAGCCCACACAATCAAATTACAAATGAGATGTTTATCTTATTGGACACTAAAAAACATTTTTTTTCACCATGTCTAAACTAATGATGCATATTCTTTTTACAACTCAGTGCTGTGCTTCTTTGATCTTGAATAACAAACATTGGCAACATAAATCCTGAAGGCTATTCTGTCTATAGTAAACATTACAAGAAAGTTTATTTCTTAGAAAAGCATTCATTGATTTATGTATTTTGATTCAACCCTGAGTTCTCACTACATGACAATTATTAGGTGCATTTAAAAGAAACAGCAAATGATAACTTGAACATCCTCTACGTCAATGAAACAAGTAACACCTACAAAAAAAAATAAGTAGCAATAAAAAAATATGGCTTAGTTTGTGATGTCCAAACTCTCGTGTCATTATTGTAGAACAGCACAAAACATGGAATAAAATTGTTTTGTAGCATCAAATGTGGYCTACATCATATTCAGTAATGTTGTGAGCTGTACAGTAAAGGCACTTAAAGAGGCAGCCTGAACTTCACTCTGATGGTGGTTATGGCACATCTACTTGCCTCTTAAATGACATTTAGTCACTATGAAGGTTTGAGAGATCGTCACTTGTTTTGGTGAATTTTGTGTTTTATTACTGAATAATGGGTTAACAGCTAATATGCAGCAGCATGCAGTTTTTCTTGTTTTTCAGTTTCTCTCTGAATGAAAAAAAACACATTTTTAACTTTTAATTACTAAACGTAATAAAAACAAGTTGTTGCAATACTTATAAAACTGTTGATATGGGGACATTAGAGTAAAAAAATACAAGTGTTTTGTTTATATTAAAAATTATCCTTAAATGTAGAAAGAGCGGCAAATTTCACAACATAAAACGCTCTCATCCAGAGCAGTTTTACTTTGTACACAACTGTTTGTTTGCAGCCCTTTATATAAAAGCAATGATCTAGTTAAACTATTAAACGGCAAAGAGGCACTGATTGTTGTTTAGAAAGTGTTTCCTTCAGAGGTGAATGTTTTTAGAAGTTATGCATTTTATACTTGAGCCTAGATGGCACTGATCCCATAAACTGATTATTTTTAAGACTCACAGCTCAACTGTAATTCCAAACACAAGATTTCAGACATACAGCATTAGAATCACTTAGTCTCAATTTGTCCCCAAATTTAAATTAAATATTGAACGACTCCTCATTTCCCTAAACCAAAGAGTTGCCATCTTTATAAACTCCACACTCACCCACACAAACTTTTCATTAAATATATTAAAGTAGTAAAAAAAATCTTTCTCAGGATTATGATAGTGTCCATTTCCTGAGCAGCCGAACAAACAGAGMAAAGATTTTGATCGGCAGAGGTCTCCTCTGACATCGTTGAGCTGAAGGTTTGTTTAAACCGAAGTTTGTCCTCGCTTACTCAAAAAAGTCCCACCATATGATCGATCTGTCTCATGTAGACGCTCTTTAATGGCAAAGCGTACCGTTGCTCCTCTGGAATCCTGCTACACTGCAGACATAAAAGGACGATAAAGTGAGACAGACTTTTACACTGCGACACAAATACAGTATGATGAGAACAGGGAGTTTGATGACGGCCTTACGTGGCTGACGTTGCTYGGAGGTGGCTGGCTGTTCGGCTCGGTTTCAGCCAAAGCTCCMTCTTCACATGGAAACAAATCCTCCCACTGTTTCTCCCTGAAGCGTTTGTCTATAGGCACGATATGACCCTCGGTAGTGAACATGTACTTGTCATATTTGTGAAKCGGGTTGTCCTCATCAAACAACTGAAAGGGTGACCAAAAAAATACCTTTTTACAGAAACTCAAAATGCACAACAGACAGAATTAAACCAACTGTGATTTTAATCCTAACAGTTAGATGATAAATAATAACATTTTAAGAAGTTTTAAAACATTTTAGCAATGTGTATCATGTTCTCATTATATTGTAATCTCCATCATATTACAGTAGCAACACATATCAAAACCTGCTCAAGACATGAATTTATATGCATATTCTTCATGTATAATTTTATGATCACTGTGTTATTTTGATAAATGCTTTGAAACTGAGGGATTTCCACTCATTGCAGATGGTAGTAAACCCTAAGTGTAGTCCTAAAAACCAGAGTAGCATTTCCTAGCACTGTCCTGTATTTTTTTAGAGGTTTACCTGCTTTAACACACCTGTTTTTCACAAATTGCTAATTACCATGGTTCTGAAGAACTCTATCAAAAGTTGTTTAGTCATTAATTCTTTTGAGCCAGATTTGTTGTATTAGAGACACATTTCAAACATGCAGGGTAGAATACCCAAAGGATTAAAGTTGGAAAACACTAATCAGAAGACAAAAGGAAACTATTTAATAAATGTATAAAACCTCATATCAACATGCTCAAGCTGGAACTTACCAGGTAAAGGTATTTACAAGTTTCACTGAGGAAGAAGCTCTCCATGCGATCCTCTTTGGATTTTTCCACAACGTGATGCAGAGTGGCATACCCGCATCTGCAAAAACAACACAGCTCACTTCAACCCAGAGGTGCCACGACTGAAATAATTCTACAGAATAGTTAAAAATAATGGTTTGATATCAAACACAAATGTAAAATCCACACCTCACTTTAGCATTTGTCTCGAGGCTTTGAAGAATATCCATCCCAACGTGCAAATAGAAAGGATTTTTGGTCGCCTGTGAAGACAGAGAGAAAATAAAAGATCTCCGTTGTCAATCAAAAACAACAATTAACAACAAACAGCACCACTAGTGTGTAAACACAGGTTGGTAATCTTACCTGATACAGCAGGTAAGTTGACTCCACCAGCTCTGGTCTTAAAGGGTAAAAAAGCACATCAGGAGCCTGAAGCTGCCAGTTATATCTCTCCGGCAGAGCTCCGAAGCGCTTCCAGATGGCATAGTAGAAGGCATGCAGGCAAATAGCATCATCTATATCCCCATTCAGCACCTGTAGGTTAGAAGTTCTTCTTTTAGCTTGAAATAAGACATGTTTTAAACAAGATATCACAAACTAACCTGCAGCCCAGGAAAGAAGGCCTGAAGGGAGTCAATCCAAGTGTTCATTATCTCCCCACTAAACATGTTCACATTAACATAAAGAGGAGGGTCGCCCTCTCCTTTGTTGCAAGACTCTCGCCTGCAGGAAAAACAGGAGAAGGGATTTCACATAATGCACATCTACTGTATGCCTGTCCAAAATAAATATGCTTCTAGATGTAAAATGAAAAGTGAGTTATGTCTTTTAATGTCCAATTAGCTGCTGATTGGTTACAAAACGTGTCACTCACCCTCTTCTCAGGTGATTCTGTATGCTCTCGTAAGCAGTTTTAAACATGCGGTAGTCYTCAATTTCACCAAAAAGGATGTATGATTTCAGCAAATACTCATAGAAGGAGTCCATTCCAGCTCCAAGACCACTCTGCTTACTAACCCACTGGCCTGTTTGGATATTAATGACATTTCCTAAAGGGAGAAATCACAAACAGAGGTTTGCTCTAATTCAATTCAATTCAATTCAATTCAATTCAGTTTATTTATATAGCGCCAAGTCATAACATATGTTGTCTCAGGGCACTGTACATGAAAAAATAATAATCTAAAGAAGAAACCAGCAGATTGTGTTGAATCACTTCATCACAGTCTCCCATCCTGAGCAAACGGTGGAGAGGAAAAACTCCCTGCTAATCAGGAAGAAGCCTCGACCGGCTGGTTGGAGGACAGGAAAGAGACACAGACAAACAC